AAGAGCGCAAGATGTTAACTTTGATGAAATCTAACTCATCAATGTTTTCTTTTATGGATCATGCCTTTGGTGTTGTATCTAATACATCTTTGCATAACTCAAATCCACAAGCATTTCAGCCTATGTTTTCTTGAGAAGTTTTTGTAGTATGAGGTTTTACACTTAGGTCTGTGATCCATCTTTAGCTAATCTTTGTGCATGGTAAGAGGTATGGGTTGAAGTTTGTTTTGTGTATATGGAAATCCAATTTTCTAGCATCATGTGTGGAAAAAACCCATCCTTTCCTCATTGATTTGCCTTTAACCCTGTTTTCAAAATTCTGTAACCCTGTAGGTGCGGGTCTATTTCTGAACTCCCTCCTCTCTCCTATTGATCCATGCGTGCTGTGCGTGCTGCCCCAGTGCCGCAGTGCTGTGACTGCCATAGTTTTACAGCAAGCCTGGAAATCACGGACAGCAAGTCCTCCAACATTTTCCTTCGTTTTCCAAATTGTTCTGGCCATTTTACTTTCTTTGCCTTTCCATATAAAGTTTGGAATAACCATGGCATTTTGTACCAAAATTCCTCTCGGGATTTTTATTGGCATTGCATTGAGTCTGTAGACGAATTTGGAGAGAAACTGACAATAACACTAAGTCTTCTCATCAGTAAACATGGTATATCTCAACATTTATTTAGATGGTAGCAAAATTCTTTCAACAGTGTTTTGGAATTTTAAGTATACAGAATGTGCATAGATTTTGTTAAATTGATATCTAAATCTGTCATGATTTTCGTGCTGTTATAAATAGTACTTTTTATCTCAATGTCTATTGTTTCAAGCTAATGTATACAAACACAAAGCTCCCTCTCCCTGTATGGACAGCAGAGAAACCAGGATCTGTTTCTGGTAGGTTATGGTCAACGTGAAGTCAAATCCCAGGATAAGATAAGGAACCTAGTTAATGATCTAAAGAAGGGGGAAGCACACCTTTTTCTACAACTATAGTCCAAGTAGTAAATATTTTAGGTTTTCCAGGCCATTCAGTCTTTGTTGCAATTACCCCACTACTACGATGGCTGTTGTGGAGGCATCTACAACACAAATGAACAAGCATGGCTGTTTTCCAATAAAACTTTATTTACAAACATGGTGGGGGCCTGGGTTTGGCCTCTGGACCGTGGTTTGCTGCCCCCTGACCTAAACACATTTCTCTGTGATGCTGGAATCCTGGGCTGTAAATGCTGGTCCATCCCCGTTTGGGGAAGTGGATGAGCCATAAGAGGGTTTGATCAGCACACTTGCTGTGCCCTGAGACCAAGTGCAGACTGACAGTCCCAGGGGAGAGGGATGGCTGGCACTCATCAGTGCCCTGCTAGGACTCCAGCTCATCAGCTGCAATCGCAGGCTCTGTGGGCTCGTCGCTTCAGTACACCCACCACTCCTGTCCCTTGAACATCCCCACAGATTCGCTCCTGTGGATCTGTGACACAGCACTGTGTGCCCCGGGCAGAGCCAGATGCTCGGGGCGAGAAACATACTCACACTTACCTGACAAGGAGAAAATAACCAAAAAGAAGTGAGGGGTGTGTGTGTAGTGTAAGTGTGTGTATGTGTGTGTGCATGTGCGTACATGTGTGAAACCCCAACAGACCTAGACAGGTCCAGCATCAAGCTTCTTGACCCGTACTGGAGGCATCGGTTCCCTGGGATGGGACCAGTCAGCCAGCTCTTCAGAACAAAGTCGTGGGCGCGGCCTTGCAGGATGAGCGGGTCCCGAACAGGAGCAGAGGGCAAGGGGCTGCCTGTTCACAGGGGGCATCAGCATTGGCTCCACATCACTTGCTGAGCGCCTCTGTGCGCCAGGCTCCATGGCAGTCAGACACTGAGGGCAAAGCAGGATGGAGGGAGCAGGGCTGCCTCACGTGGCCTCAAGGCTCTTAGAACTGGCAGGGATGGGGGTATTATTAGCCCCCTGCAAACGTGAGTCTTCAGGGAAGTTGCTGGTTCAAGGCCAACTCCAAGGAATGAGCAGAGCCAGGACCCAGACCCGGCGTGGGGCCTCCCTGCTTTGTCCACGGCTCCTCTTGCCTCAGTCAGCACCGGCCAGCTATGCTGCTGTGACCACACTGCTGAGCCCTGTGTCCAGACACTGGGGAGGGGACTCCTGTTCACACGCGGTCCACGGTGGGTCTGGGCGCTGCCAGGGAAACTGTCCCCCGCAGGGAAACGGAGGCCGTGCAGCACTGCAGGCTGTTGGGTCTCCTGACACCTCCTCCTCAAGACGCTCCTGCCACGAGTGTGGAAGGAGAAGGACAAAGTGAGGCATGCCCCAAATCTTAACTCTGCTGAAAAACAACGTGTCATTTCTGCTCACATTCTGTAGGGTAAAGCAAGTCCTAAAGCCGTGTCCCACTTCAAGGGGGCCGGCAAGTGTGACCCCCCACAGGTTCCCGGGAAGGAGAGCCGGAACTGCCGTGAGAGCTGTGATATCCACCCTGCCCCTCGGGGGGTTGGAGTCGCCCCATAAGGTCTGATGACGCCCCTCACGTCAGACCTGACACAGTCCACCAAGCCAGATGTGATGTGCACACAAACCCGTGCTTTCTCACGAAAAGACGTGCCTCTGTGTGCACACGTGACACCCATCACCTAGCAGAAGCCCCATTCCCACTCCCTCCTCCTGTGGAGATGTTTGTACAGATGGGCCGAGAAATGCCTGTGAGTTCTGATGTCCACATGTGGTCACTACTGTCCTTCTACTCACGCTGCTGCCCCCAACTGACTGCAGGCCACGGCCCTGGAGGGATAGTCACAATAACGGATGCTGGAACAGCACTTCTCACTGCTCCAAGTGTTTCCTATCCACTGCTCACTGTATCCGGAGAGGGAGGATGTGCAGCAGGTGGTGTGGGCCGCACCCTCACCCACCTCCTGGTCGGCAGCTGCAGAGGACAGCTCCTGAGTGGGGCGAGCTTGCCCCTCAAGCCCCTATGTGCTCCTGCTGTCTACACAGGGCTTTCTCCGGGCCCCAGGGGCTTGCTTAGGCCTGCTTGGGGCAGCTTGGATGTGTCAGGGATTTTGCCCCCGACAGGGGCATCCTCGACTGTGAACAATGGGAATCTGTGGATAAATGGCTCAACTTCCCCTCCCCTGGTGGGACAGGCAGGGCCCGTTTCAGTGGCTGCTCAGAGGACATGGCCCCATGGAGGCTGGTGCCCCGAGATGCCCTCTCCTCTGCACACCTCACCCCTCTCCTCTGTCCCAGCTTCCCTGCTCCTCCATCCGGGCCCGTGATCACCTCCCAAATGGACCACCCACATCCCAGTCCTTGCCGCCTTGTGACATTAACACAGGCAACGCTAGTCCCATGTCCTAGCTGGGAAAACCCCAGGCCAGAGGAGGTGAGGGATCTCCCTAATATGGTGGTTTTCACCTGGGGGATGGGACCCCCAGGGGGCATTTGGCAATTCCTGGAGACAGTTGTGGTTGTCACAACCAGGGGTGGGGGTGCTCCTGGCATCAAGTGGGTGGGGGCCAGGGATGCTGCTCAACAGCCCACAGTGCCCAGGACGGCCCCCCACAGAGAAGGACGGGGCCTCGAATGTCTGCAGGGCCGAGGGAGAGAGCTTCTCCTAAAGGCACAGAGCTATTTCACAGTTGTTCTGCTATGGAAGCCTAGGTATAAAGTTATCAGCCTCAGGACATCTGGATCCCATTCACATAGTTCAATTCGAATACAACATATTTTGTTGCAAACCTACCCCGTGCTGTGGTCTCCATGAGGCCGGGCGGTGCCCCAATAGCAGGGCAGGGCGGCCTGGGAGCCCTTGAGCAATGAAGGGGCAGAAGGGTCTCCAGCTGGAGCAGATTCCCCAGGACAGAGTGCTCCAGGAAGGGGCGTCTCCGGCTTTCTCCTTCTTAGTCGGCCCCGGGCTGCTACCGTGTGCTTGGGGTGTGTCTGTGCAGGTCGTGGTCAGATCCCCGAGGCCAGGACTGGGTGTGCATGTCAGTGCCCATGGTGCCTGAGCACAGCACACGGAGCTGCCCTGTGTGCTGGGCAGTTGCCCAGTCCTCCTGGTGCCGAGTGCCACTTGGGCCCCACTTGCTGTGGCCGTCCCTGAACCTCACCCTCCCTGGTCCTTCAGGGCTCAGTCTCACTGCCACCTCCCCAGCGAGCAGCCCGGCCTGAAGTGGCTGGGTCCCTCTGCTGGGCCTGCACCAGCCCCTGTGCCTCCCGCTCACCGGCTCTCACCACCCTCCACCGGCCCTCCTGGTTTAACCCGCTCCAGAAACGCGTGGACAGGAAGGCGGCCAGGGCAGGCTCCACGCTCCTCGCTCTGCACTGCAGGGCCCAGCCCCAACGGGCACTCAGGTGTCAGAACATGGTCTTGGCGGGAGGATCACCTGGGCATTGCGTGGCGTTCAACCCTGTGACAGGAGACACAGAACACCATGGGCCGCTGGCTCCAGGCGGGTCTGCAGAGGGTCACCACAGCTGCTCTGCTCAGTACACACCCTCAGGTGGGTGCACGTGCACACATCACACTCATACATGAACACATGTGTACATGCACCTGCATGCATGCTGCAGACCAAGGATGACACAACATATTTAACTGATAGCCAAAATGCCTTTACATGTAAACAAATTTTCCTTGATTTAAAGATTCCTATAAGGCCTTTTGTGCTTATCCTTAATACAGGAATGTTGAGACTACGAGTCTAATCCACATAAAGGAAGCAGGATGGATGAACGCAGACACAGGGCTGAGAGCCGCCCACAGGATGGTCTTTCAGATGAATCCTGTTCTTTCTAAAGAACTCGCACTGTGAAGTGTCAGACAGAAGAGCTTCCCTTCCATCCTAACTTTTGTCCTCCAGCTGGAGCATAAATACTGCTTCCACAGAAGATAAAAACGATTTGTTTTCCACTTGGGGCTCTGGCTTGACTCGATCTGGACTGCTACAGAGCTGAGAGGCCTGGGCACCGTGAACAAAACTGGAAGGTCGACACATCTTAGACAACAGAACGTTCCATTTTATTTTTCTCAGCAAGGTAAAACCATTTCCCAAGGAAATGACAGACTTCCCACATTACTGCACAGCCAGGGGGGCTACATCTGTCTCTGCTTGTGCCTCGGGTTGGTCTTGCAGTAGATGAACCACCGCCCACGCCTCTTCACCCGGTAACAGTCTTTGCAGCGCTTCTTAATGACGCCCTTGGTCTTGAACCCCAGAGCAGGGGGCAGGCACGGCGCGAGGCGACTGGACAGAAGCGAGGCCACCGCCGGGCTGGGCTTCGCCTCGACGGGAAGTGCAGCTCGAAGGGGTCCCAAAAGGAGTGTGGAGAGCGCGCGGGGACCCCCTGTGCAAGAACTCAGACGCAGGAGAGGGCGCGCGACAGAGACCACCATCTTCTTGATGAAGACGGTCGCCATGCTAAGGCTGAATCTACGCAGGAAAGGAAAAAAGTTGTTATAGTTTCTCCTGCACTGGTGCGCACTATTTCCAGCTTCCTTCTCCCCACCTCACTGTGGCTGAGGAACACAAGGCTGGAGGTCAGGGGCTCCCACCTACCAGCTGCGGCATCAAGCCCGGGGTCCCTGCCGCGGCGCTCAGCCCGTGTGTCAGGAGAACAGGTGCACGGGACAGGCGCTCCGCAATAAGCGCCCTCGTGCAGGCGGGCACGGGCCGTGCAGCCCCAGACCGGCTGCTGGGGCCCTAAGCGTAGCCACGTCCCTCCCTCCGAAATGACCAAAGCGGGCCGGGGTTAGCGGAGCTGCCCCTGCGAGGTCCGAGAAGGCAGCAGCTCAGGCCGGCCTCGGCCCGGCTCCCCGCGGAGGGGTCCACATCCTCGGCGCATGGTCCGCGCACGCCCGACGCACAAGACCCCGGCCCTCCGGGAGCTCCGACTCCTTTCGGGCTTCACGCAGAGGACACGAGCACCGGAGTGCCCGACGTCGACGGACGGCCCTCGGGGAGCCCCCTTGGACCGCGGGCGGCCGGAGGCGCCGAGCCAGCACCACCCGGGAGCACTAAGCCGCGGGGAATCCCGCCAACCCCGCCCCAAGGGTCGCGCGGCCCGCCCACCGCCCACGAGGTCGGGGCGGCCGCCAGATGGACTGACCTGCAGGCCGGGCCGGGAACCCGCCCCCGGGCCCACCAACCCTCGCCCGCGACCTCCGACCCGGCCCACCCGAGGAAACTAAGGCCAGGAGGCCTGAGCTGCGCCCTCCCGCAGCCCAGGCCCGGCCAGCGGCTTCAGGGTAGCCCCGAACCCGCGCGCCTTGCCTCCTCGCGGATCCCAACCCCTCGCGACCCAGGAGATCCCGACCTGGGAAGAAGGCGCCCCGGCCGGAGGGCAGCGCGCTTCGCCCCGCGCCTGCGCAGTAGGGCAGGGACGCAGACGTCGCCAGGAGCGTCCGCCAGGAAGGAAGATGGCGGCACTGTCACGTGACTGCCTTCCTGTACCCGACGCAGAGGCTCTCGCGTCCCATGCCCGGAACCCCCCCTCTCCCCGCCACCAGGCGTCTAAGGTTTAGGGGGGCGTTCTAGGGAGAATGCAAAAATAGGAACGAAAGTAAATACCTAGAACGAAAAAGAAGTCATAACCAATTATACATTTTTACAAACGTACTAATACCAGCGTCCAAACAAATTCTGGAAAAACCACATGCTTGCATTAATAGACATCCTGGGAGAAATGCGACGAGGCTCGGAAACAAGTGGAAGTAGGCAGTGGTCCTAACTGGTTGCAGTTAAATATCTTTTTTTCTCCCTCCAGCATTCTATTACGAAAATTTTCAAACAGAGAGAAAAGTTGGAAGACGTTTACAGCGAACACCCATATGCCCACCACCCAGATTCCACAATTAACTCGTTAAGCCCGCTTTTCCGGGACTGTGTCCGCGAACCCACCATCTGCTTTCCGTGCACACCAAGGTGAGCTGCAGACGGTGGCACCTGCGCGCCCGCCCCCACCGCAGCTGGGTCTTGCACCTGATCGGGGGAGCTCCAGGCCCACCTCTGAGCACCCCTCTGTGGGCACCTTTCCGCTTCAAGAGATTTTCAGTGAATCGCGCCTCTCATCACCTCGCCGTCTTCTCCTCCACCTCCCTGGATTCCAGGCAGTGGGTGGCCTCAGCTCCTGGGGATGCGCGACCCTACCCAGGTCTGAGTTCTGAGTCCTTCCCCCGCGCCCACCGCCCATCCAGGGACTGGCCCCGTGTGAGGTGACCCTCCCGACCGGTCTGTGCACAGGCAGTTTAGAGGACGCCACAAGGAGCAGAGAAGGAAGCGCCGGGACCCGCGAGCCGGGTCCTGCCCAGGTGCGCTGTAGGGCAGTGGGCCTTCGGGGCTGATCTGCATGTGCGATGAGATGACATCGAGTGCGCTGCACTGGTAGCTTCATTCGGCTCTGCTGCAGAAATCAGCAAACATGCTGTCCCTCCGCCACACAGAAATGCGCATCGCGCAACGTGAATGTACTTCCAGTTTCCTCTCCAAGCGAGGGCCCTTCCCCAATAAAAACACTCACTCGATATTAAGCCCCCATGACTATCGAATATACAGAATACATGTTCGCTTTCCATCCTTCCCCGCCCTGCCCCTGGTACGAATCACCGAGCAGCCGCTAAGCGCTAAGGTGAAGCGCAAACTTCCCGCCTTCTCCCAGCTGAGCCCTGGCCAGCCACCTCACCTCCCGGGCTGCGCTCGCCCGACCGCACCGCGCGTGCGCACTGCGGCAGCGCGAGCTAAATCGCGGCCACGGGGCCCCCGCGGAATACGTGCGCATGCCTGGGCGCTCAGCGCGCCGGGTCAAGGGTCAGCCCGCAAGATGGCGGCGACGGTCACCTTCCTCCGGCTGCTGGGCAGGGGCGGAGGTGCGGCGCTGAGCCTTCCCGGGGGCGCCAGGTGCTTCGGGGTGCGGACCTCGCCGACCGGGGAGAAGGTCACGCACACCGGCCAGGTAACCCCGCGGGCGGGGGACGCGCTCCATCTGGGCCCGGCTGCGTTCAGGCACCTGCCGCGTCCTCACGGTCCGGCCCGGAGGTCTGGGGTGCGCGCGCGGGTCCCCCAGACGGGAGGAGAGCGCGGCGTGTGACGCGTCCGGCCGGGGCTGGGACCCCGGCGTCGGGCTGACGTCGCGTGGTCTTGTCTTGCAGGCGTACGGTGCCGAGGACTACAGGCGGATCCGGTTTGTGGGGCGCCAGAAGGAGGTGAGCGGGGCGGCTCCACGGGACCCGGGTGGAGGGCGGGAGGTGAACGTGAACCCGGGAGGTTGAGTCACCCTTCCCAAGTCGTGGGCGCCCGGCGGCTCTCGAGTCCTGCGAGGCTGCTGAATGTAAAAGGCGCCCGTTTCTGTCCTGTTTCACCCCGAAATACGCACACAGCGTCTCGACAGGGCGGCTCTGGTCTATACGTAGATGGGCGCGGTCTTTCCCTTCACCTCTGCGCCTTGTACCCTGGAGACCCTCGGTTTGAAGTAAGTCGTGTGAACTGTTGAAAACTTCTCCTTCAGTCACCTTCCGGGGTGAGCTTCTCATGGTTCTCACCGCACCGCGTCCTTGGGGGAGCTTAGCTGGCAGGTGGAAATGCACGGGGTCGTTCTTCCCTGGGCGGGTCAGAGACCCGTCAGTTCGCACAGCGTCGTGTGGCCGCCCGAGGAGGACCGTGCACGCGGAGCCCCTCTGCCTGCGTGGGCTTGTGTTCTTCTGGCTCCTTTCCTGCCAGCCGGGTTCTCCTGCAGTGATGTGGGCACTCCGCCGGGGTCTCCTTGAGTCCCTCCTTCCCATCAGTCTGTCGACTCTTCCTGTTCCACCTCCGCTGTCCCTAAATGGTGTCCCCCCTCCCCTTTGACCTTGGTGAGGTGGTCCATTCCCAGTGTCTTGTTTTCTACTTCTGTTCCCCAGCTCCAGGGCATTTCTGGAGGAGCTCACGTGACCATGAATTGGCTCACTATAAAGTGATGATCTCTGAATTCGACCCCTTCGCTGCTGTGTGGTCTGACGACGGGGTGGCAACAGCTTGTGTTTTGCTTGTCGACTGATCATTTGGCTGCGTTAGTGCTGGATTGGGAAGTATCCTGTGGCCTGTTCCGGGTTCAGTGGGAAGGGGTGCCCTGATTGAGGGGTGCTGCCAAGACTCTTGACAGTGAAGGGGTCGTGTGCAGCAGGTTTGCCGTCCTTGGTGGCGTGAAAGTCCTGTGGATTCGCAGTCCGACAGGCTTGAGGCTGAATTGTGCATAGGACAATCCCTCTGAGATTCAGTTTTCCTGTTTGACAATGAAAACCATGGGAATGTTTTTTGTAGAATTGTAACTATCTGAGTGAGATAACATGTAAGCTGTGTAGTGCAGCCTGCACGTGGAAAATCCCCCTTCTGTCATCCTCACAAACCGTTTTTGTTTATTCCTGGGGCTGTCAGTGTGTTCCCAGGGCAGCATCTGTTCCTCAGGCTGCGTTCTTCAGTCCTGTAGCCCCATGCTTCACAGTCCGCTCATGACATTGGGAATGGGACGTTTCTTCTCTGTGCCAGCTGTCCTGTACATTCTCATGAAAATGAAAAAGGCAGGAACAGACAGATTCTGGGAGGACGAGCAGGCCCCATGATCATGGCGGTGGGAAGGGTTCTCCCAGCAGAGGTGCAGTGTCCACTCTCAGGTGTCCTGGGCATCCGAGGCTGGACGCCATGTTCCATGTTGAGGGTGTCGTGGGGCAGGGCAGGGCTGTGGAGGTGGAATCCAGTGCCTGGGTGGAGTGGTTTGGAGCAGATGGGTCCTGGGGCCCTGGGCTCCTTCCTGCAGCCTGGCCCCCAGCTCCTTATCTCAGGTCTGATGCCTTAGGAAGCACCTGGGTCTGTCATAAGCCCAGCTCTGCTGGAAATTCTCCATGTGGTTCCTGGTTTCTGATTGCCGTGGCAGGGGACAACAGGGGAGCAACTTCGAAACAACCACAAGACAAAATCAGGGTCAGTGAAGCCAACAAGCAAGCGAGGAGGCAGTGCTGATGGTGTTGCTCCTCTCTGACCACTGGGGACCTTTCCTATCAGAGATTGTGAGTTCCTGGGGGCACATCTTGATGTTATAAAGGTGTGCGGCACGTCTGTAATGATGAGGCTTCCTGCTCTGGCTTTCATTCTTTCAACAAAAATTTAGCGTTTAGTGGTATTTAAATTTCTTTTTGGTTTCCAGGATGTTGTTTTAGAAAACTTTTAGGTTTACTGAAAAATTGCGCAGAAAGTACAGAGTTCCCATCTACCGCCTTGCCCCCTCACGCAGTACCCCATTAGCATCCTGAATGAGTGTGCTGGGTTGGCTACAATTGATCATTTGAAGTTTGGGAAACACTGACACATTGTTACTGCCTCAGGTCCGCAGTTACATTAGTTGCATCACTCTGTGTGGTGCATTCTCTGGGTTTTGACAAGTGCCTGATGTCTGTCCACCGTTCCGTTGTCACACAGGGTAGCTTCGCTGCCCTAAAGATCCGCTGTGCTCCACCAGTTCATCCTTCCGTACCCCAAGCCCCTGACAGCCACGGACCTCACTGTCCCTGTGGTTGGCTTTGTTGTATTTTAAGAAATAAACTGAAGCTGAACTTACTCGGAAGAACAAGGATAGCAGGAAGCTGGGTGGTTGAGCCGGGCTCTGCAGGAACAAACAGGGAGTCTCTGTGTGTGGCTCTTGGCCAGTTTTGACCAGAGGTGCCTGGTGTGGTTTGCAGCCTGTCTCCAGAGGAATCCCTGGCCCCTGGGCCTGTGACAGGTTCTCCCAAGGGGATGCTCATGTGCAGAAGAAGGTGCCAGCTAGCCCCCACCCCTCAAGGAGGGGACAGAAGTCTGGCCCGCCATGGTCCTGGGCCACCTGAGGGAAGTAGAAGCCGGAACTGACCAGAGACGCTTCTACAAGTTGTAGAAATACTTTGAGTCCTTTGTGGTCATACAGGTAACGTTAGAAGCACGTTTCCTGTCCTCTAGTGGAAGGATGGTGTAGACAAGGGAGCATGGTGCGCAGTGGCACTTATGGCGGTAACAGAGACGACAGTAATAGTGTTGCCTGCGTGCCCTCAGAGCTGGGACGCACTGCCAGCACCAGCGTCATGTCTCTGGTTACAGGCGGGGCTCTGGTCGCCTGCCTGGCTGCATCCAGATTTGATGAGCCCCTGGTCGCCGTCTGCCTCAGTTACTGACCTTGTGGGGTTGCGGGCACTGAGTTGGTGTAGACAGGAGAGTGCTTACAGCACTGCCTGTCCCAGGGAAGCTGCCAGCAAGCGTTTATCGTAACTTGTGGCTCCCGGTGTCGCTGTTACTGGGACAGGCTTCATTGGTGGATTTGAAGATAAACACTTGGGCAGAAAGCCCAGGATGCCAGGAGGCTGAGGCCCGTTGAGCACAGCTCTGTGCTGCCCTCCACGTCCCTTGGGAATCTGACTGCCATGTCTCAGCGGTGGGGGCAGAGAAGGCTCACTCCCTGACCCAAGACCCTCGGCGCCCAGGACTGGGCATCTGTCACAGGTCGGCCGCCCTGGAGATCCTGCCTGCATCACACCTGGCTGGCAGCTGCGGTGGGTGGTGGCCCTGCGACCTCACAGCTGGCCCTCTGTTCTTTGGGACCAGCTTCTAGGCGCAAACCCCCACTGACCAGAGCGATTTCCCGTGGCGCTGACACCTGCCTTACCTGCTGCGTCTGTTGCGAGAACGTGAACTGTCCTCTGAGGGCGTCTGGCCGGCGTTGTGGATGGAAGAACAACTGACCCTCCTGAGTGTGAAATGCCCTCGGACCTGCGCGGGCTGGCCCAGCTCTTCCCCGAGGGCTTGGAGCCAGCGTTTGTGCAGCCAGCTTCTCCTGGGAGCTGGCAGAGCCCCCACGCTCGGGGAGTGAGGCTGCTTCTCCGCAGAGGTGTGGGGA